GAGAGAGAGAGAGAGAGAGAGAGAGAGAGAGAGAGAGAGAGAGAGAGAGAGAGAGAGAGAGGTCTTTGCTGAGCAGGTCGCCTGCTCCGATTGTTGGTTTTGCAGCCTCACAAAGAGTAAATGGCCCTGATAATAACAACAAGTCAATGGAATCCGATGTCTCGTTTACTGAAATGTCCTTTGGTGCTAGGTTTGAAAGAGCAAATTAAACCACGAGCACTTATAAGCTTCCTTTTGCCGAAGCGGAACCTTCCCTGCATGCCAAAAATTGACGAACTCGCACATTTGCCTTTTTGGTTTGCGCCGCCAGCCATTTAGCTTAGCTTCGGTAGGCAATGCCCTGAAAGTCCTGGGGCGTGCACGCCTGCATCGAAGAAAAAGGGCTGGGAAAAGAATTGGTGAGTCTGGTGGTTTAGCAATGAATTGGTGAGCCTTGTGGTTTAAACTTTAAAGATATACAGTAATAACAACAATCTGAATGAGAGACATGCTTAGATGCTCCACTTCTGTTGTAGTCAACAAGGTTTTGCTTTGCCTGCCAAGCGACGGTGGCTCTCCCACTCCTCTGGGGCAAGTAGTATGTGAGTAGGTGAAGACACTTCAATGGTAATTTGAATTGTAATAATAATAATAATAATAATAATAATAATAATAACTATTAATAAGGAATTGTAGTTCTTTGAGAACTGAACTAACTTGAAGTGTTGTTGGGATATGCGTTTTTTTTTTTTTTTTTTTTTTTGATATGCTAAATAGTCATTATGTGGGCATAGAAAACCGGAATACTTACGAAAAGGTGTAAGGCGGCCATGGACCTCAGAATTCCTCCTGGCTGAAGTCCCACTTTGGTGGAACGTTTGTCGACAGTCCGAAATGTGAGGTCGGGTAGGTTGGCCTTCCTACCCCCTCCCCCCCCTCTCCCTTTCACCCCCCCCTGCCCCCGAAGAACCTTCTGGGGCCATTAAACCACTACCGGCAGTTGATGCCCCTCCCAGCCTTGTGGAGAATTGTTCGTCGCCTACTCCAAAACAGTCATGCGGCGTGCCGTTTGTAAAATACGTTGGCGGCCGGCGTCGCGTTTTGGCCTGAAAAAGGGGCTTGCGGCCGACGTATGACGTGTAACCTGTTTTGCCCAAAAGCTACCAACCCCGGAAAAGTCAAACTCCTAGAGCTACTAACCCATCCAAACCCCTACAAACCCCTACAAACCCCTACAAACCCCAAAAGCTACGAACCCCTACAAACCCCTACAAACCCGGAAAGCTACAAACCCCAAAAGCTACAAACCCCTACAGACCCCTACAAACCCCTACAAACCCGGAAAGCTACAAACCCCTACAAACCCCAAAAGATACAACCCCCTACAAACACCAAGAGCTACAAGGCCCTACAAACCCCGAAAGCCCTACGAACCCCAAAAGCTACAAACCAGGGAACCTGTGTTGCCCAAAAGCCACAAACCCCAAAAGCTACCAACCAGGCCAGGTGCATCGCCCCACTTGTGAATAGCCTCAGACTGATCATGTTGGCGCACACAGTTTTCATGAGGTGAATTGCAGCAACCCAGTGGATGCTAGGTTGGGGCCCCCTTTCCGCAGTAACTGTTTCTGCTTTTTTTTTTTTTTTTTTCATTGCACCATTTTCCTTCCGGGAATGGGCCCACCGTTCCTGGTATCTGACCACACACGGGTGACGCAGAAGCAACCGTAAGTGTCCCACAAACTTTTCACCCCCCCAAGGTAACGGAATCTGCGGATGCGAGGGGTGTTCATTACGCTGCTGTCCCGTCCACACACAGGTTAGCTTTTGTTTTTGCAAGCCGCGAACCAGCTCTGCCACTCCCTTCTTTTGTTTTCTCCACAACAGTCTATGAACACAGAACAACAACAACAACAACAACAACAACAACAACAACAACAACGACACCAACAATATGAAAAAAAGGGACGACACATAAAAATAGAAAAAGAAGTAAGCCAACAGGAACAACAAGCAAGAAAAAAAAAAAANTTTTTTTTTTTTTTTTTTTTTTTTTTTTTTTTTTTTTTTTTTCTGAAAAACGGCGATGGCCTTGAGCCTTGAGGTATCATGATTCAGGTGACTGGCCCCAGGTAATTTATAGTTATTTTATTTTGTTCATCTGATTGCATCTGGACTCGAGCTTGAGTCACGGTGTATTTCGACAGTATATGGGTTTACCAACGGGACTTCCTTATTTACAGCTTCCTTATTCATGGCTTCCTTATTTATCGTTCAGAGCAGGAATGAAAAGCGCAGTTTTTAAATATTTAGATAGTCTATCAGACAAAGTGGAGACGATCAAATGTCGTGCGTGCCACACAGTTGCCCTCACTTTTTTTCTGGACCTTTTTTTCCTTCTTTTCTTACCCTTCTTATGTTCATGTGATAGCACATGGATTTGAACTTGAGTCTGTATTTCAACAGTTCATGGTTGTACCAACTAAGCTAGGCCCGTGGGTTTCTGCGCCTTTCCTGCTCTCAGCAAAGGTCTTTTAAAGAAGAATAGAACGACTGGCACCTTGCTACTTACAACTGAGAAAGCAGTGTGGTGGCGCTTTCTCTCACAAACCCCCAACATGACAGCCATGGACAAAATGCGCAGGTATACCCACTTGACTTGCCATACTGTTGGTGTAGATGCGGATTCCGATGGAGACGGAAACGGGGAGCTGCAGTATTACAAAAAAAATCTGTGATGCACAGTGGATCGCTTACCTCCATTGTTGGTGTAGATGCGGATTCCGATGGAGACGGAAACGGCAGTCGATCGAGGAGAGAGTGGCCAT